CACTCCCTAACATAACTATACACGCCTGTGCGGGGGATTTCAACAAAGAGCAGAGAAGCCTTCTACGACAAAAGTCACCGAACAAAAACCACCGTGCAAACTCTAACTGGCCAACAAATTCTAACAATGCCCCACCTGAATTCATACTAGTTTAAATTGAGAGAACCACTAATAAGATATAGTCACGCCAGTACTTTAATGTGTGTTACATGCGCTGTAACTCTAGATCAGAACGCAAAACCTTTCACTGATATAACCTCAAAATGTACGTGTAAAAAGGGAGGGGGAAAATAAATAGACCAGCGGGAGGTCTCGTTTAGTTAAACTCAATCAATCGAAATGTACACACAGACTCAGTAGTTGTCGAAAACTATAACGTTGTTTGTCACACAGACCCAACCACAGTACACAGACTGATTTTTCGGAGGGGTTATCTTTGGGGTTCTTAAATAACTTTGCATAACCAAATTAACTAACATCAATTCCACTCGTTGGGTATGGTTTGTYGTTTCTTAATCAGTTACCGTGAACGTAAATAACAGTTTGATTAGTATGATACTCTATCCCAAGCTAACTTTGTTCTCGTATATTTTCAGGGCAAAATAACCGCTCAAGGAAATCTCATTATGCAGGTAAATTTTGTATTAAAATAAAGGTACATATTTTGATTGTAGTCAACAAATCTATCATAAAACAACTGAATCAACTAATTGTAATTTGTGCAGGACACGCTCCTTGTGGCAGACGTCAAAAACAAATCCAAGGTCGTCAAAAGGCGTGTGTTTCTTTTTGAACAACTCGTGATTTTTAGCGAACCTTTTGAGAGGAAGAAGGACTGGACAGTGTACATTTATAGGCACAGTATTAAGGTACAGCGGCTAGACTAAAATCCAGAATCTGGTTATTCTCTGGAGTTAAATGCATATAATCTTTAATTCATTACTTTCAGAATTGATTCTACATGAAATGAATAGTTGAATGGTGAAGTTTTTCTTCATTATATAGTGTAGCATCTTACTTTCAATTTGTTAATTCCTGTGATGTCGTTTAAGGCTTCATTATAACTTCGTGCACCCTGACAATGTCCAACATGTCGCTGTAATTAACAGCACTTTCAGAAAACCAAATATACGAAACTTACCTGGTTCACACAAACAGTATATTARAAAGCATCTTTATTTTACTCATGATTTAAGGTTTGTAAATTTGCTTTCTAATAATAACCACGGCATTTAGCTGATTATTTGACCTCAGGTAATGCGATCGTGCATTCGTGCGCATTTTTTCTGCGCAYGCGTTTCAGAGTATTCAGTGGTTGGGCTTCCTGTGGTGTAGTCCTTTCGTTTTCCTTTTCAACGGCGATTATCTAAAAATATTACCCGGTTACCTGCCCTTATTTTTTTTACTGTAAGTCCAGTTTACTAAGACTACAACATATCAAAAAAGAAAGGTAGATCATTGGGCTATATTTTAAGTAAATCACAAAATGTCCGAAAATCTGGATCATAAAGCTCCATCAAAATGCACCGTTTTGGAAATTTAACCATTGAGAGCTCATCCTTAAACACAATAAAATTAACGACTTGGGTTTGTAATCAAAATATGTAAACGTATGTATCAATTGAAATTGTTTTTTKGATATTTTACCGTATTTATGGTCTACCCTCATTACTTTTCCTTTTTCCTTCACCTCGGGAAAGATCGAGTGACTCTCGGGAGAACAAAACTAACTCGGTATTTCCTTCGAGACCAGACATTAGGTGTATGATATTTGACCGTTTAACTATTCCTTTTTATGTATAATCAATACTGAAAGTAATGATTATCAGTTTTGTGCACTTTAAATGGTAATTTAAAATTCTTCATTTGTTATCCAATCTCCCCTAGACCAATCACATGGGTCATACTGATGGAGTTGATGATGATCCTTGTAAGTTTGCTATTTGGACAAGCGAAGGTAATGAGTCCGAGATCTTTATCATGACTGCTAGCTCAGAAGAAGCAAAGAACGACTGGGTTAATGTTCTTAATAATCTCCTGGAATCACAAAATGCTTTTGCTATGGGTAAGTAATGTGAGACAGCCCGTTACTTGACATAAATCTCTTAATCAAGAAAATTTCTCCATTTTGGAACCTGCGCTTATTGTTATGCTCTCTTTTACAGTCGAACCATCTCAAGCGTGAACACGTAGAGGTCATTAATGACTTATTGACATTATTGAAAACGAATCTTCAATATTCAAAAAAAAAAAAAAAGTTTGTAAATTCGATTAACTTGGCTCGTATGCTCTTGTTTATAGCGCAAACAGAAGGTAAGTCATTAATATTACATATTCCTTGCACAAAAAGTTGCTCTTGCATTTCAGTTGCATATATGCTTGGCTTTTGTATATGCTAGGCTTTGAAGATTCGTTTTCGATAATGAATGAATGTTCGAATCGAATAATGAAATCTASAATCCAACGCAGGACTAACGTCCGAAACGTCAGTCTACTATCTTTCGTACCTACGGTGATAAAATTATCTACTACGACCCATTTGTTTCAACTAAAAAACAACGACGCAGTCCAAGCTAGTTCCAAAACTAGTCGTAATCCAAAAATTAAGTCATTAATGACCTTTAAGTGTTCACGCTTGAGATGGTTAAAACTAATTTAAAATGGTGTAACTGGAACAAAAATTTAGTTTACGCTTACTACTTTTGGATTGARCCCACGATGTGCGCGAGCACCAATACTTCTCAATTACATTCCTTTATTAAGAATCCATGGACCTTGCTCTGGCGGCAGCCATGTTTAGTGGAACAATAGATTCCCCCCTTTCGCCTCGCATTAAAAAAATTATACGTAACTAAAGCACATACAAGCTTTGAACTTAAACGGGACAAAATTCTAAACCTTTGCTCGGGCTTATTTAAACCTTATGAGACGGTGATAATAACTTATTCAAAATCTAATGAATAATTCATAAGCCTTTGATCCAATTTAAGCGGCCATGGATGGCCGTGGATGTACCTTTGGTACTCGATAAAGACTCCTTCATTCATAGTTCCGACTTAGAAAATAGCAAACCAATCAGCGTTGCACCAGTTTTCTCAGTGGAATTAAAATCTTGTTCCACAAATAACTACACAATATTTGTTTCAAAGAGTTCTACAATTTTCTTTCATTTTTCTCAGGAAATAAAACTATTGAAGCAATTTATGATTCATTTTCCGCGATCAGAGTTTTAAATTCTGACATAATCCAGCTAATTTGTTGAACTTTTGGAATGTAGCAACGGTAGCTAAGGGGAGTCGGAACTATGAATAGCTGACTTATAAACGAAGCTAAGCCTGTGCAAGTGAGTCCTTTAAAAACAGCGGTACGCATTGAATGTGAAGCTGGTGTATTAGTATTCTTTATATAAAGAATATTAATAAAGATGATTATTATATGGCAAGGTAATTTCACGCGCTACGATTGGTCAATTTGCGGTCCATAACTTACGGTACGGACCGAAAAATGAAATGGTTCACTGAGTGTACATACTAGTGATCTTTTAAAACATCATCAAATCTTCGTTATAAAAAAAAATTTCTGGATGAAACTTGTCGGGAAACCTTAATAAATTATTAAAGATAACCAAGAGAATATTAATGTTCTCTTGAGATAACTGAAAGTCACTGGAAGGCATTTAATGTAAAACTTATCATAACAAGCGACAACTCTATCGATCAAGGTTCTACACGGCACTAGTTGAGCGATTTGTACGACCAGAAAAACTAGAAAAACTAAAACTAGGTGAAACTACGAACTAAAGGGTGGTGAATAGCGGCTAATACAGTAAATGAAATTAAGATAGTTTTACAAGAAGATGAATTAATGTAAATTTGTTATATCAGTAAGCTAATACAACGTCAAGTTTGAACTTATCTGAATCGATCGGTTGAAGAAGGCAATTGTTTATTTCGTTAACGCCGTCGGTTTTAACCAGTTTTCTAGGCTCATCTTCTCTTGAGGTATTTCCACATTTCAGGAATATTTCATCCACACTTGAAGTTGAAAGCATTTGTGGACAGGAGAGTGGGCAGTATCTTTTTTAAATGAGCCGATAGTGTGTTTTCATGACTTCAGCCATTGTGCATATGGCGGCCTGCTTCAAACAGTCAAAACGTTGAAAAATGACGAAAAACTATCCATTTTCAGCGAGCCGCAATTTTTCAAAGCCTCTCATTCATTTCTGGAGAGAGAATTTTTTTACCCAATAAAAGGCAGGAAAGCAAACGGAAGACGATAGTATTTTTATCTTCAGTTGGTTGTGAATATATCTTGAAGTTGAAAGGAAGTTTGAAGTACGACAGTTTTCTCCTCAATTCATGTTGAGTTCTTGAGGTCTTCTTTTGATGCCTTTTTTGCTTTGCATTTACATTTTTTGCAAAAGAAAGCCTCACTTTTATTAACTAGTATTTCAGAAAACTTTAAACTATTGCTAAATTCATTCAAAGTAAACTAAAACTTCTCTTTTTGAGCRACTCAAACACTACATGACTTGTGGCACGTACAGGAAGCCCTTCCGATGCAGTTCTCGTTTGACATGCGCTGTCAACTTTATTTTTTGTTGCTTCGCCTCTTTTTAGTCTCAATGCCTTGCCATATGATAAATATCTTATTAACCTCGTTTGCTCGGTCCGTACAGTAAGTTATGGATCCTGGTTTTTTCCACTTTGTTATGGCCTGCGCGCTACGCGCTTGGGSTATGAGGCAGTGGAAAAAACTGGGTCCATAACTTACGGTACGGACCTCGCACTCGGTTAATAAGAGCTATGAACTTTATGTAGTAATGAGGGGGACTTTATTAGGGATAAAGGTACGATCCACGACGACCTATAAATAACGCAGAATAACACCTCTATCTTGAGTTTGGCATTCTGTCTTCAGCTTGTGGGAGCTCTTTAGTCTGACTGCACATGACAGTGACGTACAAACATCTTTTGCAGTATGAAAGACTGTTCGTGACGTATATGGTCGCTCTAATTCGAGCAATGGTTTGTGAATTATTCCTGGGTTTTGGAAGCTGTTCAAAAAACTAGTAGATCGTAGTAGAGTACATAACAAAATTTTCTTGTTCTACTAATAAATACAGCAATACCGGAAGAGGTTCGTCAAGCTGTTAAAGAATGGAATGAAGGTTTGAACCCTGAAAATAATATCTCATAATAATCGATATGAATACCATCTCTACGTATAAACTTGATATAAACAAAAAAGCCCTATTTATTTCTAATCCTCAAATGCCAAAAATTAGATAAACTAAATTTATAAAATAATTTCRAGGCAAAATCAAGACTAAACTACCCTGCTTGGCAAAGGTTTTTTTTTTTCTCCTCTACGAGAATGACAATTTATAGTTTTCAATTTTATAATTTTGCAATATTGGAGAGGTATTCTCTATGATTTATGACTTTTTCCCATGAGGCCACAACAACCAATTACTGTRGGCCCTGTAGCATTAGCACGGGCACTGAAGGTGGTCTTCACCAGCGTCTTTTACGTCTGCCTTATACAGGATTATATAGACAGACGGGGCCTACGGTTTTAAGTCCTTATCATTTGTAGGTGTAATAACAAARGCAGCACCTTCTCCTCAGTTATTTTAAGACCCWGAGTGTTGGTCCGGCCGTGGGTGGAACCACGACCTCCCGCACAACAGACCGACGCTCTTACCAACTGATCTAACCGGATCCTTAGTCTTAGAAGAAACCTGTGCCAAGCAGACTAAGATGAAACTAATATGTAAATTAAATTTGTAATATGTAAATTTKTTTTATTTAAAGTATTACACTAAGCATATAAAACAATTAAAAGATACAACAAAATATTGAAAAAATCGTTACTTTTTGGTAGGAAGCATAATTGTAAGTATAATAATAACCAAAAAATTTTTTTTTCAATTAATCGTTGCTTTTCGGTAGGGAGACTCATTCGTTTTCTTTTCGCTGATAGTAATTCTTAATTCAACAGCCTTGGAAAGACCAATCGAGTATCAAAACCAAATGGAACGTAAGAAGAACGAACCAATCCCTGCCTTTCCCATTGGGCCTGTAACGACAAAAGGTCAGGTGACTCCAGGATCAACTACTACTACCAYTACTTCATCTTCTCATCCAGCATTAAATCATCGAGCGTTCAGTTTTCCAGATACTGGCTCACTTATTAGACAGCCAGAGGTAGGTCGGCTTACATTTAATTAGCATTTTTTGGAATTGTGTTTCGTGTTGCTGTGAAATCTTATTGTATATACATGTTGTTTTTGAYGAGTTGGTGCCTTCTTTATCAATGACAAATGCAATGGGCTGTATTGGTTTAAYAGATTATCATCTGACCGTTAACGCACCAACTCTTTGCATTTTAATATATTATAGTCTGGTAGCAGCCCAGCCACATCACAAAACCAAGGAGCGGCATCATCACTTGTCAAACATGTGAATCTGATAGATCTGGAGACAGCAAAATCACTAGACGAACTCACTTCACCCTTCCCCTCACAGTCGGTAAGCACTATGCATAACACCATTAAGAATWATTGCAAATAGTACGCTCTCATTAGCCATGTTTCTTCATAATGGCGTCACTGTTTTTGTTTTGCTTTGCTTATGCTAAAAAAACATAAGAARTTGTGGGATAGCTTGTTTGGTATTTATTGATAAGATACTAAGCTGGAATGGAATTAAGTTTCAAAGTACGCCAAACATCGAATCAATCACTGGGCTATCAGTATGATTGGTTAAATTGTAACATTCGTGTGCTATTAAGTAATGAGGAGGCTCTGGGTACGAGAATCCGTATAAACGAGTTATTGTGAGGGGCCTGAATATGCAAATGTGTCACTCGCTCACTCACTTACTATAATGTTAGCAAATCGATATTTAAACGATTATCAATCTTCTTACGCCATTTGCTTACGAACGTAACACGAACTTCTCAGATTTAGCTCTTGAAAGCTCCTCGAAGATCTATGAGAATCGAAACCATATTTATATTATGAATTGGAATGTCGCTATTGAATGTGGGATACATATGATATCAGTTATAACTGAGCATGTGCAATGACAAGCATTGATTTACTTTCGGATGTATTTATACAATCTCATACCCAGAGCCTATTTATTTTGTCGAGCATGCGCAGTAAGAAATAAAGGCTTTATTCGGATATTAGGATCAGAATTTCTGCATATCGCTGTATATATATCATCAAGTTCCAGTTTGTACCAAAAGCTTTACTTTTTTAATATTAAATCGTGCTTCCCATGATCCTCAGCGGTCTCAGCTTTGTAGGGTTTTGGTGACTACCTTTATTGAAATAAGTATATACACTTACTAATAAAGTTAGTCACCAAAAACCTAGAAATCTGAGATCACTGAGCATCATGGGAAACTTTTCATAATAAAAAAGCATATATATATATACAAAGCTTTTTTAATACAAACTGCAGCTCGATGATGCTCAGAAGAGGTGAGACTGTAACCGGTAAAAGATTGGCAAGTCCATGAATAGTTATCAAGCCGTTGAACGCGTAAAATGAATCTACCCATAATCCTGGTCGGCCTCAGCTTTATAGCTTTTCAGGTGACTAAGTTTATTGAAATAAGTGTATATATAAAGTGAAAAAGAAAGAAACAAGCTACTATAAAATCATAGTGTATTTTTCACAACAAATTTGTTTCGTGTGGTCAAACTGACCACACTCTTCAGGTGAACACACTACATGACCGTTGGTTCACTTAAGGTTTACATTAAATACAATTTTWAATTTAAACGACGCTTAATATAAGGTTACACRTGTTCATGACAGATCTGTTTCTTACGTACGCGACAATTCAATTTATATCATTATGAAATCTGAGTAAATATTCGCGCTTGTGCCTACATGCGGAAACRGGTTCGTTTCGCTTGTTGAGGGAAGCGTWATTAGGYTGGCAGATTATGATATATTTCTCATTTCTAYATAAATTTCAGCGTTTGTTGCTGCGAGCCGCCAGGCTCGCAGCAACACTAATCTTTACAGTTGGGATCCCTGTGTGCTGTATGMCATRAGAAATCTCGATTTGCTCGATTATGTGTCCGTCCCGATGATTTTCGGAGTGTGCGGTATATATGTTCAGTGGAGGTCATCATGAATTTATGCGTTGCTTCGATTACGYSYGAACCAACGTTGGTAAAACGTGGTTTGGCGACGTCTTCGAAATCAACAAAGTGCGAGATCAACAAAGTGAAATATATTTTTCCGACTGTAATAATGTCTAATTCAAAAATGTTTATTGCTGGAAGCATTCATTAAGGTCACGAAAGATTTAGTGACAGTGGTCACGAAAGATTTAGTGATAGTTCACGGGGAATACAATGTTATTTTATGAGTCTTTCAGCATTGTTATGCGCTCGGAATTTTTCGCTCGAACACTGGACTGCCGCCACTGTAGATCACATCCTTGCCRAAGGAGATCGACTATGCAACTATTTAACAGCAATAATTGTTTTGTAAAGTTATGCTAGTATTATAATAAATTAGCTGCAAAATACGGATCATAGTGACCTCAAGTCTATCGGATATTTTGGAAAATCAAATGGTTCTATTTCTTTTAATTTCGTTGTCATTATTCTACAGGGATTTAACAGCATATTTAGGTCAAAAAAGGATCTCCAAATAAGTAGATTAACTGTTTTTCGATGAGGTTACAAAAAAGTTTTGATTTTGCAAGGTTATTATGTCTAAAAGCTTCAACATCAAATATCTCGTAAACGCTCATATAAATTTCCTTCAAATTTTCTGAACTTTGAGTAAATCATATTTAATCCACTATATAAAGCGCGATTTCAAAACTTAGGTCAAAAAAAGAAGAAAAAGAGCAGTAAAGCAAAACCAACAACGCTGACTAGTGGCTGTGAGCTAAATACGATTTTCGTGAAAACTTGTTCATTCGAAAATTATATCCTTCTCTTAAAACCTGGGAAAATTTTATTCTCTAATGATTTGTTTGCGTCCGCGTGATTGCGCTTCGAAGCTGAAAGGTAGCGCGCCGATATTAGAGAGTAGCATCGAGTACAAGTTAACGTGGTCAATCTTCATGAAAGCAAAATCATATAGTAATTTAAACTAGTCGTTGCAATATGCAAGTGGAATGCTGCGAGTGCCATACAATGATGTAAAGGGATGTATACCAATGTTAATAAGATAGAAGTTACATACAACAAAATATTCAAAACCGTCTAGATATAACTAACAAGAACGAACGTAGGGCATTAATTATGTGTGTGCTCCTGTATACTTATATGAATATGCTCCTGTAGATGTTTTGAGGTATTAAGGTGTAACACAGGTCCCCTATACCCCCTCGCAAAATGCATTCACATAAAATTATTTGGCCAATTTCCGCCTCACGTAAAATTCTGAAATCGCATCGAGAAGGGGTTGGCACRTTCCACCAACGTCTGGTGGCCCCAMGTCTGGTGACCCCACRCCTCATTTTCTCCGCGGCAATACAACCTGTGATTATGAAACTTGGTAGGGGTTGTAGTCACGTGGGGCCACCAGACGTTGGTGGAACGTGCCAAGCATACTTGATCGCATCCCCATTCACGTAAAWATCGAAGTGATCACGTTTCACGTAAAATCAATTTTTCGTATCACGGAAAATACCAAAAACCTTTTTTTTAAATTCTAAGTTCATAGAAAAACGTTTCACGCATTATAATAACAGATTTATCTAGGAATATCAAGTATAATAAGGAATTATTTTAAATGATATTCGAAAATTATTAAAATATTGCCCTGTTGATTGTAATGCTTCTTCTCGAGCGAGTTTTTTCTGGAGTTCCAGTGGCTGGTGTCTCAATAAAGTCAATGAACAACATGCGATACAGTGCAACATAAATACTTTGCTATATAAAATTCAGCCGTAAACACCATAGGCAGTCGCTTACTAAAATGGTTCTTTGAGTACAAAACCCAGCGAATTCTTCGTAATGAAAACTCTTATCATGTTTTGGGTATTCTCTAACACCAATAWAATTGTTTTATTGGCTAAAAGCAAAGATTAACAAGCCTAAATTTACCTTTGAAAGATCTTCTTGTCAGCCGAACTTCCTCCACAAACAGTCCGCCATTGTTGACATTCAGAGTAGCGCCCAATCCTACTCTCCGCATCACGGATCGGCCAATAGATGTGTGCCCGTTTTCAACGCCCTCCCTCCTCCCGCCCATTGGAAAACCATTTGGATTCGGGTGTAGAGAACCACTTCTTAACTTTCATAAGAGAGYAATGAATACCAAGCTTATTTATTTCGGAGTGGCAATTCGTACGTCACCCGTACGGTGACTTGTATTTGCTATTCGTACGGGAGTCAAAAATTTCGTCGATTTTCTCGGCAACTCTGTATTGTTTTCCAACCTAATAACGAAATGTTTTTGTTTAGACCAGTTAGCCGATTCATGTCAGTGATGTTATTTTGATTCAAACTTATTTGTCGAGTCTGTGATCAGTAGCGAGCAACTCACTTTCGCGACACTTTTTTTCGTGTAGTATGAGGGCCAGTGTCACGGCGGGAAATGCCACGCAATAGAATTTCTCACGAATCCCGGTTGTTATTCGTACGGGAGTCTGTTCAGGGAATATTTATCAACATTTTCCACTCCCGTACGAATTATTCGCGTTTGTTATTCGTACGGGAGTCTGTTTAGCGAATATTTACCAACATTTTTCACTCCCGTACGAATAACAACCGCAAATAATTCGTACGGGAGTCGTCAGAAATTCTATTGCGTGACATTTCCCGCCGTGACACTGACTTTCAGACTACACGAAAAAAATTTCAAGTGTCGCGAAGGTGAGTTGCTCGYTACTGAGTGGGCTGTAAAAACGTATTTGATGAGTCTGTAAGTTACACTGGTAAATACATAAAAAGATATAACTAGCTAAAAACTAGTGTGAGCTGCGTCGGTGTTTCTAATGAAACAGTAATGATGAAAAGGTAAATTATACACCGTGAAAAGAT